TCAATCTTCAAAATCATCAACAAGAAGAACAACAAAAAAGAAGGAATCAGAAATTCGAATATCCAAAAAAGGCAAAAAAAGTTGTTAGGGTAAGTATTATATTTAATTTATTTTCACATTATTCAAATTAGTGATTTTTTTGCTAAAAATATCACATTATGCTTATTGTTGTTTCGAAACTTTTGTTTGGGTGAAACTTGTACGAAATGTGAATAATACTTATATGAATCTGACTTTAATATATGATTTTGGGATATTATATGAAATGTGATATAATATTGGTATGCAAATGGTATGAATTGTTAAATTACTCTATTTTGTATAAATTATAACTAATATTGATATGAAATTGGGATTTTTTTCTAATAGGAAGGTTTCTTTTTCAATTTCTTCATTAATGTATTTAAATTTTAACATTGGTATGAAAATGATATAAAATGTATTTTCTTTCAAATTTTTTTCAGTGATTGTGGTTTGTACACGTGTCTATTTGCTGAATACATCAGTAATAGAATTTTTTATATGCGTTCTGTTGTTATCGATGCAAAGTACCATCGTCAAAGGTATGCCACAATCATATGGCATTATGGAAAAACAAAGAATGATGATGGCGCGACCAACGAGAGTGAAGTAACTGGCACTGTTGCTAGCAAATTTGATGGACCCCGCATAGCAAAAGAACATGCTCCGAATACTTGCAATTATCCCACACCAAGACCACGGAGATCAAATTTGAGATAGTTGATTGCACCTTAGACTTTTTAGAATTACAAGTTTTTTTTTTTTTACTTTTAATTTGGACGATATTTTTGTGTTTGTTACAGCTTTAGTATTTGATATATATAATATCCATTGTTTTATTTCAAAAAGATACCAATTACATATGAATTATAGATTGACTATTGTAATCGCAGGATACTAGTTATATACAGACTGCATTCCAAATGGATACACCATTCTAAAGATAAATTACACATTAACTATAATAATTCTCAGGATAACAGTTATATACAAAATGCATACAAATTGGATTCAACATTTAGAGTTTATGATTTTACAATGTCTTATTAACTAAAAAGAAATCATACTACTAATTTAGAGTTCATGAACTAACTCTGACTTATAATTGGTATCCAAAATGTACACCTTTGGCATCCAAATTCATATTCTAACACAAAAAAAATAAAAAAATAAAAAATAAATGAAGTTGGTATCCAACAGGTATAAATACCTTGTATAAACGATTATGCCAATGTAAAATAGTGATAATTGTATTTTGTAACAACCTCAATTACATTTTTGTTTTACATTTTTTTCATCCCGGACAATTTACAACAAAATTGTAAATTATATTGTCTTAACAAGCGTGGATTAAGTATTTTTAAAGATGTATGAAGTTGTATACAATCTGTATAAATACTGGAATAAACGAATCTTACAATTTAAAACAGAGATCATTAAATGTTGCACCAACATCAATTACATCTGATTTTATTTTGTTTTTTTGAAAATGGATAAAATAAGACTTTTTAATTAATTTTAACATATTAGAGTGAATTAAGGAAAACAAATATTTTTAATTAGTTTGAATCTCCTAAATTTATGCTAATTAATAATTATCATCAATCAATTCAAATTTAATTAATACATCTAATTTCCATTTTTTCAGTTTTTTTCTTTATTATTTCTAATTCCGTTTTTTTTTAATTTCGTTTATTCTTTTTTTTTTTTAAAGGTTTTTCCAATTAATAAAAACATTTCTTTTTTTTGAAATTTGTTATAACCTGAAATTTTTAACGCTATAGCTTGAAAGTCTAAATCTACTGCTATAGCTTGAAAATAGTACTATAATATATGTTATATATGAAATTTACACTTTTATATTCAACTCATCTTCATTGGTATCTTCTCAGTTACAAATTGTGTTGCGGGTTGGTGATTATTTCAGTTCCTTCATTTTCTTCAATAAAATCATCCAAAATGGGATTCATACCAATCAAACATAGTGTATTTGATTTGATAATTTCTTATCGTGTTATCTGGATACCAATAAATATAAACTTATGAGTCAATTTGTAAACCACAAACATGAAATTGAAGTTCTATTCAAATGTACTAATAATACTAATAATTTCAAATCAAACTTCAAATTTAAGGTCGAAAATTATATAGCCAAATGCCAACTAAGTAATCTAATCATTGTACTCCCTAACCATCAAACCCCTTTGGATGAATTGGGAAAGACCAAAGGATAGTACAAAAACAACACATGATAAATTAATAAGTACTAATAAAGGGTGTGTCGATACGAAGAAAAAGATTTTCTCAAAATAAATATCGTAAAAATAAGTAAAATATCTCCCCTAACAAAAGCAAAGAACATATTTTTATTAAGGGAAAATGGCATGATATATCATCAACTTTGTCATTAGAGCTGATATATTCTTCGCTATGAAAGTGGCTCATATATATCCCTATTGTTATACAAATAGCTCACTATACCCTTTTCCTCTAAATGGATTGAAAAAAAATAAACTTAATTTAGTTTTTTTTAAAAATATAATCCTATAGGCTATATTTGATCCTCCTCACACGTATTTTCCTTTTGACTTTTTTGTTTCAACGACTAATTTGAATTTATTATTTTGATGGTCAAATTCATTTATATATATTTCACTAATTTTCTTCTAAAATTTATTTTAGATGCCCCAATTTATTATCAAAAAACTAAATTACAATATAGCCGAAAAATGTCTTAAATTTAATATAGCCACAAAAAATTTAGTTTTAATTTTTTTTCTTTCCATTAAAGAATGAAAGAAAAAAATAAGAATAAGAAACTCAAATATGATGATCAAAGAAGTCAATAAATAATTTATGTATGAAAAAGATTAAAATATACCTTGAACGTACTTTGCTAGAAGGATCACATATACCCTATTTAAAAAAAATTAAAAGTCAAAAATATAAATTTAAAACTAATTTTTTTACTTCCGTTAGATGAATGGTATATGTGAGTTCTTTTTATAACGGTAGGGGTATATGCGAGTCATTTGCATAATGAGTCATTCTCCCTTTTATTAATGATATTCTTTTTTTTAAAAAAATAAAATAAAATTCACCCGATATCTAGAGTTTGCATTAGAGTTTCGAGTAAATCAGGATCATGCATCACAGGGGTCATTCGGGCGTGGCGCTCCCAACAAAGTTTTCTTCATATCCAGTGCTCAAACTAGACTTCAAATTAAGCGTAAAATAGTCCTACCACTGCACCACAACCCATATTGATAATGATATTTCCAGCTTACAATCTCCTCCCCATCCACCCAACGCCCTCAACCCCTATACCTTGACTATCCCACCCCCAAACTCTCATTTTCCACCAATCTCACTCTCCTATTAGTATTTACTAGATTTCATAGCGATAAACCGATAATATATTTTTATTTTACGCATCTTTCTTTGTAACAACACCCACATAAGAGCTATGATATTTCTGAAACAGACATTATAATAGACACACGTATTTATTTCCCTCAAGCAATCGCATCCACTTAGCAGATTGAAAAAAAATAAAATGATACCGATAATGAGTTCTGCTCCTCTATCAACTCCGGCGCCGGTTACTCTGCCCGTCCGTACAATTCCGGGCAGCTACGGATTGCCGTTATTAGGGCCAATCGCCGATCGATTAGACTATTTCTGGTTCCAAAAGCCCGAAAATTTCTTCACCAAGAGAATGGAAAAGCACAAAAGCACGGTTTTCAGAACGAACGTGCCGCCGTGTTTTCCGTTCGTAGGCAGTGTGAATCCAAATGTGGTGGCGGTTTTAGATGTGAAATCGTTTTCGCATCTGTTTGATATGGAGATAGTAGAGAAAGCTAATGTGCTTGTTGGGGATTTCATGCCGAGTGTGGTTTATACTGGAGATATGCGTGTTTGTGCTTATCTCGATACTTCTGAACCTAAACATGCCCAGGTATATACATACACTTTTTCATCTCCCTAAATTGTGCCGGTGAAAATTGTTTGAACATAGAATTGTTACAATTTTTTTGAAAGTTGAATTTCGGATTGCGAAAAACTTCAAAAAGATATTATCACTCACAAAAATTCATTAACATCTTTTTGTATTCATGTGTAAACACAACTCCAATCTCCGAATTTCATTTTCAAATTTCGGTATTTTTATATACAAATGCCCATTCAATTTTTATTTTTTTTAAAAAACTTGAAGTATCTACTCGAATTCATACAAATTTTTTTAGGTGTTTTGACCCTTGTGTTCAGGGTGGGTTAAGTTGAATCTCAAAATTAAGTTTTTTTTTAAATTTATAAATAAGTTTTTTGATCTCTGACATAAACACAAATAAAGATTCTAATAAAGTGATCCGAGTTCAAAATTAATTTAGATCACAAATTTAAATTTATATGATATTTTTTAACCCTTTAAGTAAAATTCTGGCTCCGTGTACTCCAAATACATTCCAAGGTCCAAAAAGTTGTTACCCTTTTGGCCGTTGAGAGTCCTCGTACTATGATTAGATAATTTAATCGTAGTGGGGTGATGAGGAGATTAATATAGGGACTCAATGTACATACTAAGCTAGTTTGACCATAGATTTCCAATATTCTTTGCAAATATTGTTTGAGTGAAATCTCACCGTGTGTTTAACTATAATATTTGGAAACATATTTCACTTTTTTAGAAATATATGATTTATACTTATAAGTTTTAAAAACTATCAAAACTAACAATAAGTTTATATTACAAGTCAATTAGATTTTCGTTGCAACAAATAACAAGTAGTGTTCATGACACTGGAACAATGTGGTAGTTTGGAGTGAGTGCAATAAGCATCATTCCATACATCGTGAAGTAGACAAAGCACGTGGTTTTGTTATCCTGAGGCGATTGTTTATCATTTTCATCAACAACCATATCATCACTTTCATATTCACTGAATATTTCATCACTACTTTGGTGTTCACGTAAAAAATTATGTAATACAACACAAACAACTACTATAGAGGGTGTTTTTGTAAAAGATAAAAGTTTGGTATAAAATTTCAATATTTAAAATATCTCAAATAATGAGAGATTTGGCCCAAATACTAGAAAAAACTAGTATTTGAAAATTTGGAATATTTGCCAAATAATGAAATTTTTTATGAACAAACACTATTTACCAAATTTCTCCCTAAATATTACTTGAAAAATCTATGGACAAACAGGTCCTAAGTTCAAATGATTTAAGATATGTGGGACTAAAATTTCTGTGACATTTAAAAATGAATTATAATTTCCTCGACTATAGGCTAAATGTTTCTACAATGAAAATTTGTGATTTGAGGATTCATTCATAATGGATTATGAATCGTTTTATTTTAGTTGATTTGGGAAATTCCAACTAAATGAGGGTTGTTTTTTATTTTTATTTTAATATTTTGATATAAAAGGTGTATATTTGATTAAGCTGTATAATTAGAGACAAACTAAGCTAAAAGATGAAAATAAAGAGGTATATTTGGTCTTTTTCTTTTTTATTTTTTATTGTCACGATTTCGTAATTTAATCATAAAAATTAGAAAATATCTGACGGAGATAAAAGTTCTTTGTAAGCTAGCTTCAGCCATTCCTTTACATTTTGCCTAACTATGAAGAAAATATAATTTTTTATCACTTTCAAATTAAATAGTAAAAGAAAATGACCACCATATGACAATTGATTTTGATACTCCAAGTATTAGTTTACAAATAAATTTATCTCGAAATTATAGTCTTGAGATTATAAATTTGGAATTAATTAATTCTACTTTTCAGATGAAATAAAATAATATTAAATTTGAGGCATAATTTTTTCCTAAATTTAGTTATATCTTTAATTAGATAGAGTATTATAAATTTAATTTTAAATATAATAGTGAGATATCTTATCTTATCTTATGAACTAAATATTTGAAAATATCAGTACAGGTGTCAACATTTTATTAGTTATGACATTGAAAATATCTCCTCCATTCAGTCTTTCACATTGTTTTTACAGTAAACACCCCTTGTTCTTGAACGCACGTTTAAAATTTTTGCCTATATATTTAGTTATCAGATTTATAAATTTTTAAATAAAATTCACTGTCTTCCTCTCAATCAACATGACTTAGGGTTCGTTTAAACATGCTAACAAAATTATAGTATGAAATCAAATTAATATGTAGTTATTTTTTTGGATTTTGAATACGTAATTTGAATTTCTTATATTGTATATTTCTCTTCATGATAACTTCACAAATTGTGAAAACTATTAAAAGATTCAGTTTTTATACAATCATGCCATATTTCTTCGTTAATTTATTAATATATTATTTCAATATATTTACATGAATTTCACATAAGATAAAAGTTCTAATCATTATAAAAGCAACTTAGAACTATTTTATTAGACATACATTCATACCATATATACTAAATCTATCTGTACTTTCAAATAATTACGTATTTTATTACTAAATAAAAGTTTCCTACCATATATTGAGGAAGATACACTTAGATATATGTATTTTTGCTATCAGATATACAAAATAGGAGAGAGAGGTGAGCAAGATAGTCATGCATCTCAGATACATGCGAATCACACCAGATACATGTATATCTAATGTGATTCACATGTATCTGAGATACCAAATACATAGGAGAGTGGCGATCGAGATTTGTTATATTTTTCATATGTATGCGAATCCACTTGGATATAGTGCATCTAAAACAATTACATCTAATTTTGACTCATGTATCTCGAGATATATGTATCTAGACATATCTGCACATACCAAAATCCAATAAGATTCGTAAGATCAGAAATTAACATTTATAAAAGTAATTAACTCCTAAATTAATAAAATTTCTCTAAATTTTCCTTTTTTTTTTTTTTTTTGCTTTTGTGTCTCGAAATGAACTATTACCATTACCAATGAAGGACCATTACCATTTTGGTATGTATATAAAAGTACAACGACAGTTCGGCCCATGCTAGCTGTCCATGAATAGCCAACTAAGTACATATTTTGGCTTGTTCCTTCAGTTTAAGAGTCTTTTTTGTTGTGGCCCTTTCCCTTTTTATTAGTGGCTATGAGAGATACAATCTCTAAACCTAATCACAATTGCTAATAATTGAATAGGAGTAACCAATAAAACAAATATTTTATGTAGGAGTGAAAAATTGATTTAAAAAAAAAAATTATTATATGATATGTTATATAAAATCATAAAAAGGAAAAAACAAAAATAGTTTTGTTAGATACTTAAAAAATTATATAAAGAACAATCAAAGAATTTAGTTTCTTGTTTTTTTTTTTTTTGGTGTTCAGGTCTGGGATCACTATAAGGCTGCTTTAGTTTTTTTTTTAAAATCAATTAAATTAAATTTTATATGAATTAGGCAAGTTGAGTTATGTTCCGTTTTTAACTCATTTCATTGACAGTTATTTTGTTAACTCAATTTATTTCGACTCTTCTAAATTCAACCTAATTTATCTATTCAACATCTCTAATCTTGGCCAGCTTTTAAGCAATCAAAAATTTCGAACGGGTCAATCAATTTTCAAAGTTCGGAGTAAGATAGTTTTTTTTTTTTTTTGGTTTCCTATATCCCGTGTTCAACCCATTTTGGAGATTCAATATTAGATTCATGAAATTCATTAAAAAGAAAACATTTTCTACCAAAAATTTTCTATTCTTGATATTCGTATTAGGATCGAGGCTCGAATATGAAATTTATGATTAAAGGTAAAAAAAATTCTATCCATCCATGATCCACCAGAATCCTCGATGGTTCTGAATTGGATGTGCCTTGTTTTGTACCTCTCGGAGAAATCACTTCCATTTTAATAAATATTATTCACATCTCATGAATAATTATATACTCCCTCTGCCTCAATTTATGTGGCCTTTTTTATTTTTTGAAAGTCAAACAGTTTAAGTTTGATCGAAAATTTGTACATGAAATTTTCAAAATAAAATTGAATGAAATTTATATATTTGTAAATCACGTAAAAAGTATTGTAAGTCGCAATAATTGATAATTTAAAATGTTTAACAGATCTATGAAAAAATCAAGGTTAAAATAGATTTATTTGAATTTCAAAATTTAAAAAGTGTCACATAAAATGATGCGTGGGGAGAATCAAGAACCACAGGATCATGTGCATGTTGTCCTAAAGCTACTATTGGGCCAAGTCACAAATTTGTCTGACGTATTATTGGGGAGTAGATGACAAGTGAGTTGACAATCCAGTGAAATAACCAGTCTAGGCATCCACATTTTACACATGGCTACTATTAATGTGAAAATATCCACCTTAAATCACTAGTAGATTTTTCTTATTTTGTTTTTTCAAGAACATGAATATGACATGTTTTTAATTTTTTTTGTTTGTTATTTGTGCATGATTTGACTCGTGTGGCAAGCTTATGCCTCGATAAAACCAGTATTTTGTCTAAGAATATCCTGTGTTTGAGTTTTATTTCATTCATTTAGTAACTGTTATTATTCACTCTCTCCATTTCAATTTGATTGTTTAGTCAGTAGCTTGTCCTTTTCGTGCTTTTCCAATCGCATGAGATGCAACAATCTATTACGTACGTTCAATCAACCCCTGGCTTATGTTGTCTTGACATGGAGTTTAAGCAAGTAGAGAAGATTTTTAAATATTGTGATCTTAAATTAAGGATATGTAGAAAATACCAAAATGTCATTTAACTATGTGGCTTTAAACATGTTATGTGTAAAGTTGAAATTAAAGAATTGTAAAAAATAAACATTCTTTTGAAATGGACTAAATAAGAAAGTTGGACAACAAATTGAAAACAGATAAAGTTCTAAATAATAGAAGTATGTTTTCCTGTAAATAAAGAATTTGGTGATTTAGAGCTCGTTTGGATTGATTGAAAAAAGTAGTTTTTAATTAAAAAAAAATATAAAGTCAAACTTAAATAACTTTTAAATCAAAAAATAAATAGTAGGGGGAGTCCTACTTTTGATTTTTAACCATCTTAAAGTCATTTTAAACTTATTTCAGAAAAGGGTCAAAACTACCCTTAAACTATTTGAAATAGATTAAATATATCCTTAAACTATATTTCGGCTCAAAAGTGTCTTTCCCGTCTAACTATTGGACCACGCTTACCGTTCTGTTTAACAGAAGAGTTATGTGGCATCCATGTGTGTATTAAAATGCCACATGAACCTCCACATGTGCACGCCAACATACCCACCTCCACATAGAAGCCCTAATTTCACTCCTTTTTTCCCCACATTTCATCCTTTCACCGGCGCAATTTCACCCGTTCCCTCATTTCATCCATTTCTCTATTAAAAGACCTAAGAAACTTTCATTTATAATGGACCTAAAGGGTAATGGAATCTGCTTAGGTCTTTTAATGGAGAAAGGGATGAAATGAGGGATAGGGGTGAAATGATGAAATGTGGGAAAAAGGACTGAAATTAGGACTTCTATGTGGAGGTGGGTGTGTTGGCGATGGGGAGGTCCATGTGACATTTTAATACACACATGGATGCCACATAACTCTTCCGTTAAACAGAACGGTAAGCGTGGTCCAATAGTTAGACGGGAAAGACACTTTTGAGCCGAAATATAGTTTAAGGATATATTTAATCTATTTCAAAAGAACGGTAAGTGTGGTCCAATAGTTAGATGGAAAGGACACTTTTGAGCCGAAATATAGTTTGAGGGTATGTTTAATCTATTTCGAATAGTTTAAGGGTAGTTTTAATCCTTTTCTGAACTTATTTTTAGTTATTTTTAACTTTGTTAAACACTTCCAAAAGCTGTAAGTAAGTTTGACCAACTTTTAAGTCGATCTAAACAGACTCATAGACCAAAAGATACAAGCATTATGTATTGGTAGTTGAAACAATTTTGATACTTTTTTCTTTTGAATTTTATATAGGTGTCATATCACCAACATGAGTTATAGTACATTAATGAGATTGTTTCACCCTTGAATAAAGGTTTCGAGTTCGAAACTTAAATATTGAAAAAATTATGTTAGGAATGCCACCCCCAAATGGTCTATAGGTCATGTCATTGTGTAATTCAAGTTGTAAAATCCACAGAATCAACCCAGACATGATGCATCATTAGCTGATGTACATCATACTTCTTAGGATGCGACTCTTTCCATAAACCTGCATGATCGCAAGACAATTAATGAACTTGACTTCCTTCTTGACTAGCAACTTGATCAGTGACTCCTCTGTTCTGATTTGCTTTCTTTTGTTTTAGAGAAAATGGACTGAGAAATTCTTACACATTGTATAATGCAGATTAAGAATTTTTCACTGGACATTCTAAAAAGAAGCTCAAAAACATGGGTGCCTACACTCCTTAAAGAGCTTGATACAATTTTTACAACTTTTGAAGCAGATCTTTCAAAATCAAAGGAAGCTTCTCTTCTTCCTGCACTCCAAAAATTCCTCTTTAACTTCTTCTCCCTCACTCTCCTCGGCGCTGATCCATCAGTCTCCCCGGAAATCGCCAATTCTGGTTACATCTTTCTTGATTCATGGCTAGCTATTCAATTAGCACCTACTGTCAGCATTGGTGTTCTTCAACCCCTTGAAGAAATTTTAGTCCATTCTTTTGCATACCCTTTTTTTCTTGTCAAGGGTAATTATGAAAAACTCGTTCAATTCGTCAAAAATGAAGCTAAGGAAGTGTTAAACAGGGCACAAACAGAGTTTCAGCTCACAGAACAAGAAGCCATTCATAACCTTTTGTTCATTCTTGGGTTCAATGCTTTTGGTGGTTTCACCATTTTCTTGCCAACCCTTTTGGGGAATCTTGGAGATGAGAAAAACGCGGAGATGCAAGAGAAACTGAGAAAAGAAGTGAGAGACAAAGTCGGCGTAAATCCAGAAAACTTGAGTTTTGAAAGTGTTAAAGAAATGGAACTTGTTCAGTCTTTTGTTTATGAAACACTTAGGCTTACTCCACCAGTGCCAAGTCAATATGCAAGAGCAAGAAAAGACTTTAAGCTGAGCTCACATGATTCAGTTTACGAAATCAAGAAAGGGGAACTACTTTGTGGTTATCAGCCATTAGTGATGAAAGATCCAAAGGTGTTTGATGAACCTGAAAAGTTTGTGTTGGAGAGATTTACAAAGGAAAAAGGGAAAGAATTGCTGAATTATTTGTTTTGGTCTAATGGTCCACAGACTGGGAGACCTACTGAATCAAACAAGCAATGTTCTGCTAAAGATATAGTTACTCTAACTGCTTCTTTGATTGTGGCTTACATTTTCCAAAAGTATGATTCTGTGAGTTTCTCATCTGGTTCACTCAGATCTGTGAAAAAAGCCAGTTGAGTTTTGGGCTGTGTAGCAGCAAAATTTAAGCTTGCTAGACATGTTGAAATTAAGTCATCAGTGGCTGGCTTTTCTCTCCTCCTCCTATTGTGATTTGTAATATAATTTCTCAACTAAAAGTTCAAGAAGAGTGCTTGTTTTCTGTTCTAACTTATGATTATTGTCTTATCCTCTTACAAATAAAGTTGGAACATGAATCTAAGTTCTAATTGTAGAAATTTAATTTCACCTCCAAGGCTTCAACATTAAAGCAAATCAAATATCAAAATATTCCATGGGAATCTAACTACTATTAGATTCAAAATATCTAACTATTAAAACAAAGGCATAATACATAAATGTGTCATTTAACTTGGCGTCGTCTGATATTTATGTCCTTTATGTTTGGGTGTGCACAAGTAGGCACTTAAACTTGTATAGAGTTGAACAAGATGGGCTACTTGGCGTTTTACGTGACAATTCACGTCCTACATGTATTATATCATGTAGGACCTTTTATGTCTACTTATTCAACTATATACAAATTTAAGTATCTACTTATGCACATCCAAAGTTGGAAGGCATAGATATCAAATGGGATTAAGTTAAATGACATATTTATGTATTATGCCTAAAAAAGAACATGCTTAAACTCTCAAGAGCAGTTGTTTGGATCAAAGATTCAAAGCACTACTACATCTCACTCTGTGTTAACAACACCAACAGATTTTCCAACTGAAGATCTTTGATCATCCTTTCCTGCCCCTGCATATAAAAAATGTTAACTGAGGCTGCCTAAGATAAAATCTCAGTGAACCTCCAACACTAAGGTTGTGGGTTCGAGTCACCAAAGAAAACAGAAAATTACATAATGAGCATATTAAGAATTGGCTCATAATCAAAGAGTGCTTTAAAGTACCTTATTTCAATATATCACAAATCGAACTTGAAACTCGTAGTTACCATAGATCTCTTGATTTTCTCGAATTTGCTCTGCACTAGTGATGACTGCAGAGTTGCAATCTTTTATTTCGATTGATCTCAGCGTCATTATTTCTCCAATACTCTCGGGAATCTCCTCTAGGAAATGCAACCAAGACAGGTTTAGTTCCTCAAGCATCGGAAAATTATCACTTGTTGCTTCCCATATTTCCAGATTTCCGTGATGAACTCCGAGATATTTTAATTCAGGAAACACAACATCTTCATCTAGTTTCCAATCTGTCCCCCAGAATGCATTATCTGCTTTGAGCACCTCAAGATTTGGTAACTTAGCCAACACTGCCATATCTTCCCATGGAAAAAATGTAGAATTTAAACTCAATTTGGCGAGATTAGGCAGGAAAATATCTTTAGAGAGAAAGAATGGACTATTGAGTGATGCTGCTGCTTGTATATTTAGTGTCACAAGCCCCTCTAGAACAAGGAGACAATCAAGAAAAGCATTCCACTCAGTACTCCGTACGTCGTTTATCTTTAGCTTATTCAGATTGGGAAAACTTCTCAAGATTTTCAACACAACAGCAGAGGATTTGACAGCAAGTGTATGCAAGTTATTCAGAAACAAAGGCTGTTCTCCAAGAGGAGGATTAGGCATATCCACATCTGTAATATCCACATGTTTTATCTCGGACATTGTCCAAATCTCTGTTGGGAGCTGCACATTCTTCTTTTGTGAATAAATGATTATGGTTTGTAGATTGAACAACTTGGCCAGTGAAGAAGGATCGTTAACTCTTGCATCAACGTATCTCAAATGTACAAGTTGAGGTATTATACGAGAGAAATCAAAGCCGATTGCATGTGCATCCAACACCTTAAGCAGCTTGAAATCTGAAATACTATAGGGCCAGTAATATATTCCAGTAACTACATAAGATTGACGTCCCAAAAAGATCAAGCTGCGGGTTGTAATCTTACCATTCCTATGTTCTGGATGATCACGAAAATAATCCTGAATAAGATATGGAATGATCACTCGACGATGATCATTTATGCCATCTGAGACATAATTGTTCGTGAAATGCACAACATTTTCAATTTGAGCTTCTCTTATGCACATCTGCCTTAGAAGATCATGAATTTTACAAGTTTTGATCCTTCCATTAGCCCTTCGTCCACCAACCAAAATTAGACTCCTATCTGTTAACTCTTGTAGATACTCCTCTGCCACCACTTCTAACCTTGTATTGCTTCTTGCCTTTATGAATTGCTCAGCAATCCATGAGCTAATCAACTTCGAAACACGAATCTCCATATCTTCAGGAAAACTTCCTATATAGAGAAAGCATGCCTTCAAGTATTGAGGCAAGTAATTGTAGCTCAAAGAAAGAATAGCTTGACACTGCTCTGAAGCCGTACCAAAGAATGAGTTCAAATTTTCCTCAATTTTCTTCCAATTATCGTGTGTCCGTTCTATGTTGCCAATAAGTCCAGAAATGACAACAATGGATAGAGGCAATCCTTGACATTGTAGTATGATATGCTTCCCTGTTACTTCTAGTTGTGGAGGACAAGGATCTTTTTTGAATAGTCTTTCGGTAAATAGATTCCAACTATCATCTAAACTTAGAAAAGACATATCATGAGGAGGAAAATCAGAGGAGCTAGCATGATTAGCTACATTCTTTAGACGAGTGGTTAGTATAATTCGGCTTTTATTGTAATCATTTGGAAATATTCTTCGCATAAGATTCCAAGCCTCAGTACTCCAAAGATCATCGATAACAATTAGAAATCTTCTACCCTTTAGACCTTTGTACACCGTCTCCATTAGTTTATCATTGCTCATGATTTCTTGATTGATTCCAGTAATTGAAGAGACAACATCAAGAAGCATTTGTCTCTTATTATAATCTTCAGAGATAGTGACCCATGCATGTTTATCGAATTGAGAACGAATCATTGAATCATCAAAAACTTTTCTGGCAAGAGTTGTCTTACCAATACCACCCATACCAACAACTGATATGGCTATTAGCTCTTTTGTTTGAGCATTGATGCAATTTAGTATGGTATTGAGGTCATCTTTCATCCCAACAACCGTCTTTTCCTCGGTTGTACTTTGTCGTGATGAAGGGAAAGATGTTGCTGATTCTGGTAATTTGCTAAATCCAATATGCTTGTTAAACTTGATCACCATCACCTCTTTCTTGAGAAAACAAACTTCTTTTTCCACTTGTTGCAATTCTTCATTGAAGGCTTTACAAGCCCTTACGCGATCGTCGTCTCCATTATCTAGTAGAATGATGCTTCCCAAGCTTGAATCAATTCTATCTTCTGCTTTGTAGACTACATCTTTGATCCTCTTTTCTAAGACCTTGACATCTTCAATATCTTTGACTTCCATTGTGGTGTTCTCAAGAAAAACTTGAAGATCACATAGATCTTGATAAAGAGATTCAACATGTTGTTGTATAGAGGTGTCTCCAGTACAAATCAAAGGTGATTTAGACTGAAGGAGTTGTTGCAGTGTATGCATAAGTGAAGAAAGAGCAGCATAAGCCATTTTGTTTCCTATTTGAATTTTATGTTTCTTTGCTTTCTTTTTCTGTGAGCACTTAGCTTTATTAGTCAAATATATGAAACAGTCAAGAAGGTGAAGCACATGAATGAAGTACTACCTCCCACACAATTGACTTTTCTTATGAAGTCATTTTCTCATAACCAAGCAAACTAATCCCTCCGTCTCAACTCAAGTGTCTTACTTTTCATTTTGGTCTATCCAAAAAGAGTGTCTCTTTCTAAGTTTTTTTATTCCAGCATTCTACGTGGCAAGTTTAAAGATCACAAGAATTCAAAAGTTTCTCTTTGTTTCCTAAGCTCTGTGTCTGGTCAAACTAAGACACAGAAATTAGGATGGAGGAAGTAGTACTCATCTAATGTAGTGAATGGATTGCCAACTGGTTTGTTGACTATGCAATCCACTAGCTTTAGACTACTGTACTGCTATTATACCTGTACTGCTACTAATTTAATTCTCCCTGCACCAACCTTGCCTTTAATTCCCAGAAGCAAAAGATATAAATATGATAAAACTACACAGCTAAAACAACATTTAAAACACTATTTATGTCTTTAATTACCAGTTTAGCAGGATTTTTTATGTTAACAATTTCTTACTGCCATATTGTCTGCAAGTTCTAGGAAAGTAAGTGGTTGTGAGGTTATAAATTCGTGACTAAGTCTTGGTTGATTAGTTTATCTTATCTTGTGATGGTCACCTCAATGTGACACATTCATTTTTGGGACGGGTTCAAATTGGACCGAAGGGAGGAGGAAAAAAGAGTTCTCTCTTCCTGGTCCTATCGACTTCCTTCACGTCCTAAATAGACCGATTAAATGGGGATTTAGATGTCACTGAGGTGATTGCAAGCGTAGGGCTAGAAGGTTCAATCTAAAGATTTCTCATTAACATTGTTAGATTTGTAGATGATGCTTCCTCCACCACTATTTAAGTGTTGTGACTAGGTAATAATTTCTTAACCTCTTTATTTTCTTGCTATAAAGTGGGTCACCCTCTTTTTGGCTTAGGCCAAAATATTTTTTCTCCAAAAATGATGTATGTTGGAATCAAATCAAAATGATACTACATCTAGTTTGTTCCCTATCAAAGGCAATTCAATTCTCAAAGGCTTGGGACGGATCATGTGTTACAATACCGAGTTCATTTGAACCCAACACTTCCAATGTGAATTTATGTGTAGAAATTAATTAAAATCACAACAACTAGTAGATATGAGCTCATAAAAACAATGCAAGAACATACAGCCATTTGATTATTTATCATCCTTGATCCAACTCAGAGTCCAATCCAAAATACATACAATCCTCACCTTCAGCCCAGAATTGACTGAGGATATTATCATGGTGGTTCGTACAGAACCATTTCAGAAGAGATGAACAATATACAAATTAAATTTTCAAGTTATTCGCAGCAGATGAAAAGTTTACAAGGCCTGAGAGAAGAATACTTAGGGTCCAGCAATCTCCAGTAACTATCAACACCCTCCAAAATTCGA